TCCTGCTTCCCCGGGTTCCAGAGTCAGAACACAGGACACAGTTCAGTCTGAAGCCACAGACAGAGTTGGTCTCATCTGTCTTGGACCTGTCAGTCCTGCCTCATTTCATCACTTGACACTGGACACTGCATGGGACCCTCACTCTGGCAATGCAGAGTTCCTCCGCTAAGTAATCTGAGTACCCTTAGACCAGGCAGCAGAGCTCAGGAATCTCCTCCCTGGTAACCCTGAATGGGGCTGCTATACACACACAGCATGGGCAGGCTTCTGTGGGGACTTCCCTGTTCTAGGGACTGAGACACCCTCCTCTATGAATAACGCTGTCATCATGGTCAGACTCTGCACTCATGGAAGTTGGGGAACCACACATCCAGCAGCCTTGCCTGGGTTGTTATTCCTGAGAAGAGTTGTCCACTAAGGCAAACCTCCACAGGTGTGGGCTGGGTTCTCTTATTCACCCTCTGTCCTGATGTTTCTCCTGGAAGAACCAAGCTTACCTGTGTGTTACAGTCACGCTGGTGCCCTTACTTCAGGGTGTCCTGAGCCCCAGGTCAGTAGGCTCCTTTCCTGGACTCCTGTCTCTGGTTGACCTCAGTCTGTTCCCCTCAGAACAAGTTTCTCACTCCCCATGTCTCCCAAGGGGAGGAGATCTCATTTAAAAATCCTTCCCATGCTTCAGGGCTGACAAGGGAGGAAGACCTGGATATATGGCGACTCTCTTCTTGCTTTGGGGTTCCCTAGAACACCCACACCCCAAAATATTGACCCCCTCACTGAGCTCACATCTGTGTTACCACAACTGAAGGAAAGAAGCAGAAAAGTTCCCTCAGGTAAATCTGTCACCACGGGTCAGGCAGTCAGTGGACCTCACATCAACCCAGGTGCCCAGGGCCTGACTGCAGGAATGGGATTCTACAGTTCCCTCGGCCCTGCCTGGATTTTGTCACCTTGGTTCCCAGCAGAGCCTGGACTCCAGTCATGCATGCCGCAGCCAGCTTTTCTCAATCTACAGGAGTCCTCTTTGGTGGCAGCGGTGGGAGGGAAGCAAGTGTTTCTGCTGCCCAGGGTCTCCAGGACTGACTTCAGGGTCCAGGCTGGGAGCCAAAGCTTGTGGTGACCTCATCATGGACAGCTGTGCTACACTATGTGGTCCCCTCCCCAGCCAGAGGTGACCTCCCCACACTTTTCTTCTAACGGACTGGTTTTTAATGGGAAGAGGGTGAGCAGCAGTACAGGACTGGGGCAAATCCTTCTCCATGAGGTGATCTAACTTTTCATATACCAGAGCGTGATTTTCACAGTTCAGCTGCATTTGGAGACTGGAAGCTATTTCACATCTCTACCAAATGTCTGTGTGAAGTTTCTATCAATGGAAAGAAAAAGTGTACAGAGTGTACACATAGACTACACTACTGTAGAGCACATATGCTCATGTATTAGTTTATACATTATATATATTGAATAGATAAGTGTTTTATGTACATATTTTACAAATACATTTCCATGTGAATGTACCTAGACTACATATGCTTGTTTGATGAAAGTATATCTACTGTTACTCTGCGTGATTCAATTTTCATTCCAATCCATTTCTAATATATTCCTTACATTCCATTACAGTAGTCGTAGTTGTGAAAGCCAGTTCTCACCCACTAGGGTGGTTCAGGTAGGTATTAGAACTTCAGTCTCTGGAACCATACTCTCTGTCTCCATTTTTCTGCTGTCCTCCCGTTACCTGTAGATCACTGGCATCTCTGGTATAAGGTGCTGCCTCAGCCTGTGCAGTGATACAGAGGCAGGAGTTTCTAAACTTTGCTCTGGCTGATGCTGTCATGGTTACGTGTGCAGCCCTCAGCTTCCCTGCCCCTACCCACACTCAGGGACCAGCTCCACAGTCTCCAGTCCCCTCCAGGCCTTCCTCGTGTTTTGGTGTTCACACGGAGTTCCTTATGCATGTTTGCTAGATCTCCCTCTCTTTCCATGGTTATTTCCAGAAGCACGAGAGAGTACCACACGTGCTTGTCATGTTTCTGCTACAAGAATCAAACTGCAAGGACCAAAGTGTTGATTGGTGCCTGTTTTCAGTCTGTGACAGGCTGGCTCCAAGGCACACACAGCATGGGGAAAGTCTTGGAGGCACAAAGCTGCTCAGTTCATGGTGGCTGGAAAGCAGAACTGCGGAACAGTGCCAGAGCGGAAGGGCCAGAGGCCACGTGTATTACCGAGCACCACACTTCCACGGTCCATGTACACATATCCAGGAGCATCCTATCCTATGGTGCTAAGTTAACCTGCTTGTTCACCTGTCAAGATTAGCCAGAAACATTTACCTTCTGTGAATTTCAAACCAAACACATCTTTTTAAAGCATATTTTTACTCCAAATGAAGACAGTAATGCCTAGCTCCTAGTTCAACCTGACATGATGTAATTATCGCCCATCTCACTGGAAACAGTGTAATCCCTTCTCCAAGGTCCGAACAATCCCAGAATTTATCAAAAGTCAAAGTCTAAGTCCTTTCTGAGCCTCAAGGCAAACTCTGAGCTTTGAGATTGTATCCAGTATAACCTACATGTCAAATGTGTACCACAAAGAAGTCGTGAGAAGTGTCATTTAATTATACGTCCAGGATGTGCTTTGCCTGATTGTTTTAGTACACCAAAATATAACTGTGTATTGTGATCCAACTGTGCATTTATTGATGTGGTTTTCCTTTATCCCTTAAATTCAATGAACTTGCATGGTGCATATCATATCTTGGAGTCCTGCAGACATGGGTTAACTTGTTCCCACCCTGGGTGAGGCAAAACTTAGTACTTCTCAAATAAGACAGGGATCCATATATTGAGCTGTGTCGCTTGGCCATGGAGCACAGCAACAATACATGCTCCAGGGCGGCCTCGCTGCAGTGAATCTCTGCCCCAGTTTCTGTGAGGGATAGTCATTTTCAAGGACCCACTCAATTCCCAAGGGCCATCCTGCAGTGGGCCTGGCCAAGCCTCCCACACTCATGTTTGGTGGCAGCGTTAGAGCAACATACTACAGTGTCTTTACCACAACTTGGAATTGCAGAGAAGCCCTATACACAGTGATTTTTATCACCATTCATGTGGACACATGTGTTTTGAGAGGAGAACATAACCTACATTGACCTCACTGTCCCTTTCTGCGGGTTTTGACAAATTTGTAATTGTAAGAAATCCCCAATTACAGTATTATTCAGAAAAGATTTCCTGCCCTAAAAGTTCCTCTCCCATAATGTAATCAAACTTTCTTCCCTCCTTCTCCATGAACCACTGTCAATCATGGAGCTTTTATCATCTTTCTTAATTTGCTTCACCAGAATGTTGCATATTTATCCCACATAGAACTTTTCAGAATGGCTTGGTAATCACAGCCGGGTTCAGGATGGGAGCAAGGGGGACAGGGTGGGCACTAGATGATATCACACTAAGAGTCTCCTGCTGGCCTTGTCATTTATCACATGGCATCCTGAGGGGATCCAGAGCCCAGGACTCGTGCTCTTCATCTGTAAAATGGGCTTCACACACATTTTGTGTTGTAGGAATATTGTAATGTAAAAAGCATATTAAAACACTTACCAGACTTTCTGACATTTCTATATTGAAGGCTTGTTGATAAGCAGGTGGTTCTAGCACTGCTTATCTCTGCACGCTAGTATGCTTTTCCTATAATATTTGTGTGTGTGTGTGTTTCCCAGGGAAGCAGCAGATTAACAGAAAAATGAAAGGAAAAACAGGTAAAATGCTACCCAGTAAACTTTCCACCAATGTGATGTATCCAATAGGACATATTACTTAATTGGATGTTGAGGAGAACTTTCTTGCTGGCAACAATTAATTCACAGCTTTAGGATCTTGGGTGAAGAAATTTTTCCCCCTCTCTGCCAGTTGCTCTTCCACGGACAAAACTATTTTGAGCCATAACACCTTCACACAAAGCCTAAACTTGGTATTCACAATCCCTCTGTTGCAAAGAGGCCTAAAAACCTAGCAATTCTAGTGAGAAGTCCAGCTCAGCACAGATGCAGGTCCACAAATCTTGATTGCACATTACATACCATAACAACAAAAGCTTAAGCTTCATTCATAAAAAATGAGTGAAAACTCATCCAGACGAAGTCCTGCTGTAAGACGGGAGGAAGACTCATGAACTGGGAGAAGGCTCTCTGGGAGGAGAAGCTCTTGGTCAGGCAGTGCTGGGATCACTCCTGGAAGAGGCCCACCTCACTGAGCAAATTACGACACCCTCCCTGGAAGACGGTTCAGGCAAAGTGAACTCATAATGAGAAGTTGTCCACAGAATAACCAATGAACTGGGCACTGAAAAACCCTGGAAAGTGGACACTCCCAGCAGAGAAGAGAGCATCTGCCCAAGGATATTAGGGCCTCACTTCACCTGACAGTCTCCTTTATCTCTCAGGAAATCCTCGCAGGAGCTGGGGTAAGTCCCCTGGTTTGTGCCCTGCCTAGCACCGCTCTTCTCTTAAAGAGTCTTCTCAGCTTCACTCACCATCTAAAAGTGCTGGTCAGAGCAGTCTACTCTTTTATCAACCATTTACCTCAGGTGCAGGATGCCTCATCTGAGGGTGTGGTCCTCCCCACCTTTCAGCTGCATTAAAATCAACTACTGCACAATGAAATGTGGCTACAACAAGCCACAAACTACCGTGGCTCAGCACTCAACCAGGGCTTCTTCTGATAGACTCCAGCCCCTAAGAGTTTTTTCATGGTCCTTAGTTCCCGGAGGTAATCTCTCTATATCCCCACATTGGGGGGAATCCTGGACTCCGCCATGCTCTGGGGTAGGTTCGATCCTGCTCAGTCTAGTGTACTCATATCTCCACCACAGACACAGGCGTAACAAAGGGCACATGCACAATGAAATTTTGGGGTCAGTGTGCATATGAACAGAAGGGCTTCTTTATTGACAGTAAATTTCTCTCATAGAATTGGAGAAACCCAGCATATTCAGGTATACATATATTTTAATAGTTTATGAAAACAACTAAAAATAAATATTTTTATACATATAAATATTTTTATCTATTCCAGCATTCCATTTAACTTGGAAATTTCTTACACATTGCCAAGGAAATTCATATGATTTTTCTTCAAAATAAAATGAAAGCTCTCCAAGTTGTCTCAATAAAATACAAATGATGCTGGCATTTAGAAAGGAAGAGCAAAATTCCTGCCATCACAAAGAACCATCAATATCTCAAAAGTGAAAAGACGCATGGGATCAGTATATTATGCAAATAATATGTGCAAGCCATGCCAAATTTGCGAAAAGGAGCAAGACGTACAAAAAGCATAAAGAACACACAAGTCCATTTCTGAGTAACCTAAACACAACAGATATAGAGGTGATGTGCATGGGATTTTATTTCTCACCTAGCTCTGGAGTACCAAGAAAAGTGTGATATCTAGAAACACGAACTGAAGAATGGGACTCATTTCACATGCGGTGGGAAGTAGACAGCGATGTGATGAGGAGCACTCCCTGTCGCTGGCTGGCACGTTGCCCCTTCACTGGCCCATAATACAGCAATGCCCATCCTCTTGCTCCTCTCTCAAAGCCTCGGCATAGAGACGTGTGTAGGACCAGGGATCGCGCCTGTTCACCTTGGCCAAATGCTCTAGGACTTTCATCTTGCTCGTTTCAGCATGGGCCCTTGGACCCCACAGGAACTCGTACTGAGCAGGATTGCTGTAGCGCACATGCCTATACTCCAAGTATTGTAGCTGTACCAAATCCTTCGTGATGAAGTCCCAGGGATCCCCAATAACAAAGCGCTTCCTCTCAGGTAACATTTCCCTTCTTCTCAGGAATTCCCTTAAATCCACCTCACTGATACGGTTTCCCTTCCATAAGATGATGATAAGGATGACTACCAGAAGGTTGATTTTGGAAATGCTCTGCAAATCATCACCCAGTATCCCATCATAAGTGAGGCCTAAGATGGGCATAAGGACATATTTTTTCCTACTGTGATCCACTTCCTGCACATCAATGCCAAAGGCCAGACGCATGCACTCACAGATTGCCTTGAATAATGGGGAGAACTCCCTGCGGTGACGGGGTTCTATATTATTCTGCATTTCCCACTTGGTGATAGACGTCTTGTTTTGAAACTTTTGGAGCAGGATAGGCACCAGTTTAATTAGCTTCTTATCTTGGTACAGAGGGCACAGCAACTGAAGGACGGCTATGTCTGGGGAGGTCCATAGATCCTCCTCCTGAGGGATGCAGTGCTCACTGGATTGGTTCCTCTGACTGGAGGCCATGGCTGTGGGAGAGAGGAGACACCCTGAGGATTCTGGGGAGAACTTGGTGTCCTCGCCCAACACACTCCACTTGATGCAGCAGGGATTTGAGTATGGGAGGATGAGGAGCCAGAGGAAACAGTGAATCCTTTTTGCTCTCTGACAGCCTTCCACACCTGCACACCTACCAGGCCCCGTGCCCCTCTTTGGACAATGTGACCTCACCTGAGCTGGCTGGGCTGTGTCTTCTGATCAGGAGGATGTGCTGAGGATCCTTAAGGACAGCAAGCACTTGGTGTTGAGGATTCAGATGCCTGGAGGAGAGAGGGAGAGTGTGAGTGTTCTCACCCAACAATAGTACCCTTGTGAGCTCCCAGAAAGACTGATTATTGGTCTTCTCTTTGCGTGGTGTTTCAGAGTCCTGACTATGGGCACTGTCCCCGAGACCTGGGTCAGGAAGTGAGACTGCTCCTCAGGCTGCAGCTTAGCCTCAGAGAAGGCTCTAGGGCACACAACAGGGATACTTTAGCCTGGGCAAAGGATTCCCCCCTGTCCTTGGGGGGGGTGGAGCTATAGATGCACACTCGGTGCACACCCCTTACCTGGACTCCTGAGCCTCCTCTGCTCTGTGATCTGTGGACACCACCTCAGACCAAGACTTTCCGCTCTTGTTTCTTGGAGCTCCTGAAAGGGACATGGGGGACAGCTCAGGCTGCAGACCTCAGCAGAATCCTTGTCTCCAGACCATCTTGCTAGGTGTTGGCTGGGACCTCTGAGGTTCCTGCTCTTCTGGGTGTCTGGTACCCTTTGTGCTCACTAAAGGACCTCATCTGTCTTGAGCAGGGCCTGGAAACCATCCCTTTACTTGCCTGAGGCAAACTCCTAGGAAAAGTGTGTCCTTCCTTGATAGGGAAAAAGGCAATAAAGGAGAAACTCACATGGCCAGAACTTCTTGGGATGACAGCAGGAGGTGGGAAAAAATGGGGTCCATGTGGCCTAGGAACAGGAACCTGATCTGTCCTTATCTGGATAAATGGTTATGTCTGAGATTCTCCCTTGGATGATCCAGAGCTTCCTTCATGAAATGTATGCCTTATTTGTGAAGACACTTAAAGAAAAAGTGAGGGGAAGCCAGTGTCCCTGTTTCCTGGGTCTGACAACAGACGGCAAAGGGGTAGGTGAGGCTAGGGCAAGATGTGTTCAGGAGAGTGGGTTACCTCTACCTCCCCTAGCCCCTTGACTATCTCTGGGATCCGACTTCTGCTGCCTGCAAGTCAGCCCTCTTGTACCAAGGCCTTGAGCTCTCTGAGACCAATGATTCAGAGCTAAGAGAGAAGCCTCACCCTGACAACCCACCTCCAAATTCCGGGGATGACCAAGGCCTCAGGAAAGATGTCTGCGCAGCACTCAACATGTGTGTCCTGGGCAGCATTACTGTCAGTCCTCCTGTAGGTTACTCACCTGACTGTTGGCAGATCCTGAGACTTGGGTATCCTCACCAGATAGTGTTCCCTGCAGATAACATCTCAGAAAATGTTCTTCACTCCCCTGAAATCCCCAGCGTTCTCAAAAGGAGTCAGCAGGTGTCCATCATGTCAGCGCTTCATGAGGATTTCCTTACTGACAGCAGGACCTGTGCCCATCTCTCCTGTGATTCAGGACCCCTGTTACGGTTTAATCTAGATTTCAGTCTAAAGGTCTATGGGATTATAGGCAGAACCTTTGGGAGCTGAATGCTTATGGGAGTGCACAGCTGATCTGCTTTGAGAACGTGGGGCCTTTCAGGAAGAACAGGCTCACCGTGTGTGATAGCACGGGTTGTATCTTCCTTTCTGGAGCCCTCATTCACCTTCTGCTTCCTGTGAGACTTGGGGTCTATATAGCTTTCCTCCAACCAGGCCCTTCCACTCTGCTGTTCTGCCTTGGAGTTGGCTGACTGAGGATTGAAAGCTCTATAAATTATGAGCCCCAGTCAAGTTTTTCTCTATTGCTTTGCAGATGTCAGCTATGGTGTCTCAGCAATGAGGTCACAAGTGAGGTAATGCCTCTATACTCCCGTAGTTTCTCCATCTTCCTTTTGACCATATTTGCTTGCATCTCTGTGATGACTTCCCACCTTCTGGCCTGAGTTAGAAGTGAGCATGCCACTTAGGGCCTCTGAAAGCTGACCCAGGGGACAAGCAGCCTGTGCTGCTGGAGGGCAGACACCCTGCGTCTTAACAAACCAGTTCTCAATTGCTCCTGGATAGCAAGAAAAGGAAACTGACTGTATACAAAGAAACTGAAACCTTGAGACCCCAAGGAGTCCCAGGGAGAAAAGGTGGTGCTTCAGTACACTGGGGGTTGTTGTGATCTTCATGTGATCTTCATGTTGGGGAACTCTGCTCCCACAGAGGTCTTACCCAGGCCACAGTGGATGAGAGACCCTTGTGCAGGTGTCTGTCATATCCTTGGAGAGTGAATGGGTTTGGGTTCCCTTCCCGGAAAGTGTTGAGTGTTAGAACTGGGTACTAAGAACAGCTATGGGACAACTTTACTTCTTGTTTTGCAGTACCACACTCCCATGGTGACTGGGTGAGAGACAGTCAGAGGAAACCTCCCTGGACAGAGGAGCAACTGGAAAGAGACACCATGAAGGATTTGATCTCAGCTGGCAAGGGCACAGGGCCTATCCCCCTAGAGATGCCAGACCCAGCCTGAGTTGCTCTGGATTTGTAAGAAAGCCTTGAACATCAAGTCCTTGCCCTTCTGCCTGCCTCCAGCATAGATCTGGGGTCCAGCTGCTTTCCCTATCTGCCAGTATGAGCAGGACATGCCTTGATTTGGACACTGCTGTTGTCTGGGCAATGCAGAAAGTCCTGCTTCTAGAAGACTGAGAATTGCTGGACTCTAAAATTTAGCATCACTGGGCATGGTGGTGCATGCATGTAATCTCAGCACTCGGCAGGCTGCTGCAGGAGGATCATTGCAAGTTCGAGACCAGCCTCAGCTACAAAGTGAGCTCAAGGACGGCCTGAACTGCATAGGGAGATCCTGCCTCAAAAAGACAAAAAAAGAAAGAAAGAAAGAAAGAAAAATAAAATTTAGCATCCCATAAAGAAATAGTTCATTCAAATTCCCAGAGACAGTTTTTTTTTCCTTTGTTTTCTTCATCCTTCCTTTTTACCTCTATTTTCTCAGCTTTCCCTTGTTCTTCCTTTTAATTTTTCCTTTTAGTTTTTCTTATTTTTATTCTCCATGATATTTCTTTTCTCTTCATCTCTTTTTTCTGTTGACTTCTATCTCTTGGGCATTTCTATTGTTCTCGTTACCTAACGCTACAAACTCACTTCAAGTGCACAACTACATCTTTGGTTCCATTTTTCTCTTCTCACACTCACATTTTCTGGATCAATATTTCAAATTTTAAAGATTTCTTTCACCCTTTCCCAGCCCCTTATATCTTCAATAATATAACAGTTCAGCTTTATTTACCTTTACAAAGTTCACTCCAGCAAATTACTCCTGAATTCTCTTCTAGCCCAAGAAAAGCTATAGCTGTTGTATTTAGTACATATACCCTGTTTGCAATATATCTGTGGTGTTAATATTTATGCAGCAATTGTGGCTTTTTATTATATGATGAAAGGTAATGCCCAATTACTTGTCATTTCATGTTAATATCCATTTTGTCCTAGATGACAATAGAGTATCTGGGTTGCTTGAGGAATCCCAGGTCACATAATGAATATGATAAATTGGTTTTCTCTGTGACAATATGCAGATTACTATTGTGAAATTAACAGTACTAAGGCACATTCCCAGAGAACTCGCTATAGAGCCAATTACACTGCATCTTCTGCTCCCAAATTAACAGAGGTGGTCAGATCTTAGAGAAGAGGTAAAGGACTTTCGTTAATCATGCCCAAACACATACCTGAAAAGCAGACTAAATAAACAGATCTCTTTACTAGCAATGAGAGATTTTTCACTAGAACCACTGCAAATTTTAGCACAAAAGAAACAAACAGACCAACAAACAAGGAAATACAAAATAATACAAACAGGAAAAGACAAGGGAGCATAATGACCTCCAGGCTCACAAATCTCCCAAAGCCAATCGAGGAAGAAACGAGGGGGAGAATAGCATAATCTACAAACCTGAAACTCCAAAGGATACAAGAGGACATTAGAAAACAAATCCAAGAGATGCTGCAGGGCATCAAAGAAGATTTAAAAAGAAATAACCAAAATGATTCAAGAACATTTAGAAGTCACTAATAAATATGTATCTGAGCTAAACAAAATGATAAAACTACCAATGACCAGTTGACCAAGAATGAGAGTCCAGGAAATGATTTCAGTCAGAAATCCAGGACCTAGAACACGGTATGGAAGCATGGGCAACAGAATCAAGTAGTGTGAAGACAATGTCAGAATAAGAAATCAGCATAGCTTTTAAAGATCAACTATACAGAGACACCTTAAAAGCAATAAGAGAACATAAAATATTGATGAACCACTTGCTAAGTGCTACAGAAAAGACTAAGAGTAGTAACTAAATAAGTGAAAAAAAACATAGTAAGTGGTTTAGAAAACCTATTACAGAAAAAAAAAATAGCAGAAAATTTCCAAAGAATAGCAACAAAAAAAAAGAAACAGAAAATTGCAGCATATGGAACTTCAAATACCAGAATCAAGTAAAACCTCTCTATGTAATATCATTCTCAAAACTCCAGAAGCCCTAAACAGAGACAAAATGTTCAAAGCTGGAAGAAAATGTAGTAAATCAGTTACACAGACAAATCCACTGGAATAACAGCAGACTTCTCAACAGAAAAGTTTAGGAGTAAACTGTTTGGAGTGAAGTATTTCAAGCTCTAACACATAGCACCTTTCAATCCCAAATGATACATCCTGTAAAACGTTCTTTCACAGTTGGTGGCGAAATAAGATACCTCCATGAAATGGAGCACTGAAAAAACTCATAACCATCCAATATTCATGACAAAAATTCTCAAGGATATCCTAGAAAGAGACAATGACGCCAGTTACTAGCAATAAGTCAAACAGAAAGAACACACCTGGCAAGGTGAGCAGCTAAGCAGAAAGAAAACAAACATATTAACAAACTATAAGGATATCCACAACAGAAACAAATGCAATGACCTGAAGTTGTCAATTCCTTTCAGTCATAATTCTAAACGGAAACAGTCTCAATTCGAATCAAAAGACACAAGTTGGCAGAATGTATCCAGTAACAAGATACAAGGATATGCAAGATAAAAGAAATACATTTAGTTTGAAAGGAAATTCTCAGAGTAGAAATTACATGATGGGAAAAAATATTCCAAGCAATGGGAACCTGAAAAAAAGCAGCAGTAGCTCTCATAAATTTAGAGAAAATGTATTTGAAACTAAAAATTCTCAGAAGAGACAATAAGGTCAAAGTATACTGGTAAAATGAGCAATTGAAAAGAGAGATAAGAATTTTAAAGACGTGTGTGCCAAAATCTGTTGCACCCAATTTCACAAAACACACAATAATGAAGGTAAATAATTAAATAAATACCAAGACAATAATTCTAGTCTGGGACCTCAGTACTTTATGGTCACAAAATGATGGAGTAGACCACAAACTCAAAGAAGACATCTCAGAGTTGAACCAAACTTTCAAACATGTGGATGTAATAGTTATCTACAGAGTGTCACACGAACATTAACAAAATACACATTCATCTTAGCATCTCATGGGACTCTATCCAAAATACACCACATAGTACTACATAAACTATGGTGAAGTCAGTGCGAAAGAATCAAAATCATTCCAAGAATATTGCCAGATCTTAGTGAAATTAAACTGGAAATCAATTGAAATGGGAAGCACAGAAAGTCTATAAACACACATATGTTAAACAATACCATTTGAGTAATCAGTGTGTCCCAGAAGAAATCAAGCAAGAAACTAGACAGCTTGTAGAATCAAATAATAAAACGAGTACAACATATTATACCAGGGAAAGCAGTCTGATGAGGGAAGTTTGAATTGATGAAAGCCCAGCAGAAAAACAGAACGAACACCAATAAATAACCTAATGATACAATTCAAGTTTCAAGAAAAATGAGAAAAATACAAATCTAAAGCTAGTATGAGAAAAGAATTTATTAAAATCAGAGCGGAAACTAATGTGGTTGAGACTGAAAAAACAATCAACAGACCAAAGTGACAGTTCATGGAAAGAATAAACAAAATTGGCAAAACCCTATGCAATCTTACCATAAAAGGAAAGAGATGACCCAAACTTGGTGCAAGTATAAACGCAAGAGGAGAACTAGCAATGTATTCTGCTGGAATCCCAAAGATCATTATTAAATAATATGAGAATCTGTCCTCTCATGAAATTGA